TTGTCTTTGATTCTCGTTACCATATCCAAAAGGAAGCCTCTACTAGTGTCCCTTTAAGGTTATATTTCGCAAGAGTCTTCTTCCAAGTGCCTATCGCAAGAAACTTTTGTATAGTGACTCACTTATTCAACGAGCTGATGGTTGAGAATGGAAGAAAAATAGTAGGACTCAACTGCAGCTGAACAAATCGTTCTTTGAATTTGCAGAGCATTTAAAAGTTTTACCTTTTTTTATATTGAAAGAAATAATAGCCCTCTTGGAGTTATATCGTTTTAAAGCAGCTTTGTACTTTTTATAGTTTGCTTTCTTGTATATCTTTAAAAGTTGTGGTTTTTACAAAGTTTATCGTACAAGAGGATGCAACAAAAGCCTTTAAACCTAAACAGTCATGTTTACCTTCAAAAACACCTCAAATGTATAGTCGACTATTGAGGAGAAAGAATTCAACTATGATTCAAATGATATGCAATGACAAGATACGAGAAGAGAGTCGCTAGAATAGACTCAATTCGATTGAATTGAATTTTTCTTGAAAATATCTTTTCTCCTCTTAACAGAATCCACAATATCAAATGCCACTATTTTCAGAGGAGAAAGAAACAGGAGTTATTGACTCTTACAGAAATTGAGTATTGATGATACACTTGTGTGAGTCAATGTTGTTTCTGAGATTTGATAAAACCACGAGATATTTTGGATCCTTCTTTGCACATTTGTTTTGCTTTTGTCTTTTGCTATCATCAACTTTTGTAGCTTTAGTGATAAGCTGCTAGTTCATGATATCGTAAGAAAGGAATTTGGTGATTGCTGAGAATAAAGCAGTGCTGTGCTTGCGGGTTTCTGCATTTCTACTAAATAATAATATTTCAACTGGAGCTTTTGAATAGACTACAGAAGAGAATGACTTGGTTCATACTCTAGTTCCGTGTTTCGAAATGAAGCAAAAGTGACGTAAAAACTGTTCCATAAAATACAGAAAATCTAGAGAGAGACGTCTATGGAACAAATTCTTCATGAACAATCTATATCACTCGGAACTCTCATGACTACTCTCGAAAATTCTGAAAGAAACTTTCTTATCTATGTGAGAATGGGCCATGTTCAATAGCTTTATACTCTCAAAGAGCATAAAAAACTTGTGAAATAAACATTGGCTTCCTTCTAATCCTTCTTGTACCCTATGAGAGTTGCCATTATATTAGCATACGAGAATAAGAATATCGATAGCGGAAAAAGCCATATTGATCGTTCTTCCATAGTTCAAGTCATCTCAGTCCAAGCCATAAAAGGTATGACATAGTCATCAGTTGATAAAGAGAAGAAGTTGGATTGGTATCCTTTACTGTTTTCCTTGTTGTTGTTGTGACCGACAAACAAACAGTCAATCGTTTATTTATTTATATTTTGTACTCCGAAATAAACAAAAGATTGTTTAATTTCTCTTTGGCGATGGCGAGTTTGGATGAAAAGTGGGAAGCTGTGGACAACTTTAAGTCTGTTGTGGTAGATCGTGAAAGAGATGTTGTTCGAGTGACAAAAGAACTGTATGATCTTCATAGCAACAGAGAACAACTCAGGGGTGTAACAAGTAGTTGCAACTATCGCTTGACCATACCATTTGCCCCCCATCTTTTTGGCTCTGGCAAAACGACCTTTGCCCGAACCTATTTGGAGTTGGTGCAAAGGTTTGGTGAAACTTCCCTGTCGACGTTTGCTTCAGACCCTTTGAAGAGAACCTTTTTGGAGAAGCTGAAAAGGGCTTCATTGCTTTATGCGGATTTAAAGGAGTTGAAGCCCACAGACCCGAAAGAACGAAACCTTGAGTGGGCAGTCTACTATTTGTTAATAAAGGCTGCTTGTCTGCAATCAGGTCTTCCGCAACCAGACCCGGACGAATGTTTCAAAGAACTGAAACTTAGGAGTGATGCTTTGGTTCAGAAAATCCGTTCAATCTTAAACATTCCTTCTGATCAATATCTTTTGGTGGCATTTGACGAAGTTGGTGTCCTTGACGAAAGTCTCGACGAATTTCATTTCAAGAGAACCCATGACGGTAGAGTTCGACCTTACAACGACTTTTTCGGTATCATTAGTCAATTGTGCAAAGAACCCGACTTGTTTTTTATAGTTGTTGGGAAAAGCAAGGGTTTAAGTATTAAGAATTATGTCTCTTCCGTATCAAAAGTCATACTACATTTTATTTCTTTATCACCTTTGGACGCTTCCAGTATCGTTGAATTCCTTGAAAAGAGTCTTCTAAAGACACCTACTCAAGTTCCGGTTTGTAATGTCTTATGTAGTTCTTCATTTTCAGTAAATGAATTGGCAGACTCATTATTGGAATGTACAGGTGGAGTTCCTGGTTTGTTGACTCGTGCAGTAAATATGCTTTTGAATTATATAATAGCAAGAAGTCAGCCTTTCATATCGAAAGAAGAATGTTTGACTTGTATGAATGACTACGATTTCCGAATAATTTGTGCTGAACCATTTGTGGAACGAATATTGAATTTGGACGAAGATAGAAGAAGTGTTTTTGATTTACTTTTGATGATGGCTCTTTATCGTATACCGTCTAAAGTAGATGATAGATTGACCTCGGAGTCCTTTTTATATGATGCCGTCACTGAAATGGGATTATATCGATATCCTATTGACGAGAATACTTTTCAAGTCCTAATTCCGAAAGTATTTGTTGTAATCTTCAAGAACGACCCTTCCATCTCTTCTTTGGAAAAGATACTTCTTGGATCACTTGATGTCGAACCAGTAGATTGTTTCTTCTATTCAAAGTGTCGTGTATTTGAAGGAATTGTTGCTTTACGACTAGTTTTGATGTTGTCTTCAAAGAATCGAAATGAGTTGAGGGAGTTGTTGTGTCAATTGTCTCCGATATGGAAACAAATGAAACTTCCAATCAGTACAATATCACCTATTCACTATATGAAGTCTGTTGTTAGTTCTAGAGAAACAAGAAGTGAATCGAACAAGAGTCGAAGAACTTTTGCCAATACTGAATGGAATAAGATTATTCGAGAGACACTTTATTTAGAGACTATTTACATTCCTTTGGACGCTACTTCTCATAGTCCTGATATTATATTCAAATTACAATCTCCTGTGGAACCCAAAGTTCTTACTGTTGGAGTTGCTTGTAAAGGACGTTGGAGGTCGGAAGGAATTGGCTGGTCAGATATTATAGATGAAGCCAAGAAATTTTTAGATCCTGTTTATGATCAAGTCTTATCCAGTGCAATGGATTATCATCATTGTATGCTTATTATCGTTAGTACAAAGTTATCATTGAATGTTTCTAATGAGTTGGGTAATCAAAGTCGTTGTTACTCCAGTGGAATGTTTATTGGAAATGATTCGTTCAAAGTACCTGATCATTGTGAACTTGTTATTCTTTGTGAAAGAGATGTCCAAATGCTGATTGACGAAGAAGTATTGAATGGACTTGAAAGAGCATTTGGTGTTTCTCATAATCCTACTTTTTGGGATTTTGGATTAGATTTACTTGATAGAATCCGTAACAGTTTCTTAAGTGGCAATGAG